TTCTCCCATTCTGTAGGTTGCCCTTTCATTTTGTTGATGGTTTTTGTTTTGCCGTGCAGAGCTTTTTAGTTTGGTTTAATGGAGTCCTGCTTGTTTATTTTTGCTGTTGTTGCTTGTGCTTTTCATGTCATATCCAAAAAAATCATTGCCAGTGTTTTATTCTTAAAAGGATTTTCTGACAGGCTGGTGCCTCTTCCTTATCTCTAAATTGTCTCTTCCTTCTGAGGTATATTTTAGTATTTTAATATTACCTCAGGACCAAAAATATTTTTCTTTTTTTCTTAAGATGAACTTTTAATTAATTGACTGATTATTTTTATTTTTTTTATACTAGAAAGGCACATATTCAAAGAGTGAAATAGTTCTATTGGGTTTATTATACTCCTCCCTGAAATAACAGTCCTTAGTACCTCTACTGTATTTCTTCTGTTTCAGAAGTAACCACTTTCACCTGTTTTATTTAGCTAATTATCTGATATATATATATATGTCCATGTTGTTCAGTAAGATGCATGATTGTTCTGGGTTGATCTTCCCACTACGGCAGATAAGGATTTAGCTCTCTCCACCCTACCATCACACACATACCCCCTGCCCCAAATCCTATCTTCCCGATATAATTAATATCATAACCTTGATTAGAACAGTATTCTTTATTTATATTATTATATCTATGCTATTAAAAGCTGAGTCTTGTACAACTTTGATTACATTATTATTTCTGTACAACGTGTTTGTTTTTCATGGGGTTAATCATTGTGTTATTGTTTGTTTTTCCTTCTGGGTTGGTTTTTCTAAGTATTTACCAACCCCAAAGGCTTTGAAAGTTGTTTAAATCTGCTAAGATGCTCAAATACATCAAGTCTTCTATCAGTTTTCTCCTCCTGAAGCAGTCTCTCTCCGGGCTCTGAAGGTGCTCTGAAGAGCGGGGTTGCTCTCTCTGCTGGGCCTATAGCTGGCTCCTGGGATCGCCCTGCTCCATTACGGGATTGCTCTCTCTGCTGGGCATATAGCCGGCTCCTGGGATCGCCCTGCTCCATTATTCTACAGGTTCCCTGTGCTTCTCTCGTGTATTGGCTTGTCTGCCTTCCTCTTGGTTTACCATATCTTTTTGAAGCATATTTTACGTACTTAAGTAGCTTCCAGAGAATAGAATACGTGGGAGGTGAATTTTTTGTGAAACTGCATGTCAGAAAATGTCCTTATTATATGTGATTTTTTTTTCCTCTTTCTGGAAGCTTGTGGAATCTTGTCTTTGTCCCTAGGGTTCTGAATTTCATAACGATATATTTCGATGTGGATTGATTTGTATCCAGTGTCCTGGGTGTTATGTGCCCTCTGAAGTTGGAAGCTCATGGCCCCTTAAACTTGGGGAGATTTCCTCAATTTTTTTAATTGATGCTTTTTCCCCTTCTATTTTCTCTGTTGTCTTTTTCTGAAACTTCTATTACTTGGATATTGGACCTGCTGAGAGGGTTTCTATTTTTCCCTCTTTTTTTTCCCTTTTGCTCCACTTTCTGAGAGACTTCACCAGCTTTATATTCCATCTCACACCTTTATTGAGTTTTTCTTTTTCTTCTATCATGTGTTTCATTCTCTTTACTTTGGAATGCTCCTTTTTTATATGATACTATTCTTATTTCAGTATGGCAATACTCAGCTCTTAGTGTTTGGTGTTCTTTGAAGTTTTCTTCTTGTATGACCATTGACCTTCAACTTGCTTGTTTCTGTTTGGTCTCTCAGTGTCACAGCAGGGGCTTTCTAGAGGTCCTGGAGGTACTTGATTTGTCTGTAGGCATTTAGGAACGGGGGACTAAAATGCTGATTGGAAGCTCTGAGTGCCTGTGTAGGGCTTCTCAACCATGAGCTTCACCATAGGCTGATCATAGGACACCTCCCACGTGAGTCTCATTAGTTGTCTGCTCTTGGGCTGTTCAGTGTTTTTTTCATTCCTCTGCCTGGAGGGTAAAAGCCTGATTGCCTGCATTCTGGGAGCCAACTAAGAGAAGATGGCTGGTGGTCTCAGCATCTGATATGCATATGTTCATTTAATCCCATTCATTTGCCCTCAACTGTGCTGTTTTCCCCCTCCTCCCCCTCACACCACCCCCAGTCTGGAGGCCTTCTCTTACTCTCCGTATAAAATGAATCTCCAGTTATTTACTGGGCCTTGGGGGATGGGGAAATAGCCCACATAAGGGGTAGAGTTACTTAAAAATAAAAATATATATAAAAAAAATCCCTTTACTATCCTTCATTTGGTTTTGGGAGGAAACAAACGTAGCCTCCTGTGTGCAGCCTTCCATTTGTACCTAAAAGCCTCACCATTGCTGTTTATTTACTGATGCCCAAGTGACTGAAGCTTTTAAAAGGGATATTCAGTGGCCCATGGTAAATGCTACAAAGTATCCTTCAGAGAAAGAATGACCAGACCACAGCCCTTTGATTAAGAGAATTCGGTTAGTCAACATTTTTCTTTTAAACCAAGGCTGTTCAGAAGATTTAGTTCCTCACCCACAACTCCTTTCCTCTTCTTTCATCTGCACCCTCCCCGCCCCCCCAGCCTCTCATTGTGTTGCCCAGTCCAAATTGAAGTTCTTGTGGGGCGACCTTGGGGAGGCATCAGGTTGCAGAGGATGAGGTAGTGAAGGGAAGGTGAAAAAACGAGGGAGGTGGGCTCAGGGCAGCACGTCGTGTGGGATCCATGTCATGCTTTTATCCAGACTGCTGTGACTGCCTCTGCCCCCTTCTTACTGGCTGGGGGTCAGAGCCGCAGTGCTCTTTAAAGCCATGGTTTCTTTTAAGCTCAGTAGAAACTACACACATCACTGGACTGGCTCAAACATCACCGGATTTGGTTATCTTTTTAAAGAGGAGCGTGCCTTCAGCTTCTTAGCTGTGGAGAGAGTGATGTGAAGCGTAGCCGCTCTGACTCCAGAAACAGGATGACCTTAGAAGCAAGCTGGAGAGCATGGTTTCTGGTAGTTCTGAGCCTGCCCTTCTATATTCCTTCTTTAAATATCTCCTCTAGTGACTTCAAAACTTGATGTCATGTCATACGTATTCAAACTTGATATCATATGTTTTCCCCTTATGTTTAAATCTTTGTTTCCTATTTAAAATTTTGTTTCTCTTTTCTTTTCTTTAAATCTTTCAACAAGTATTTATTGAGCAGCCATATCTGCCAGGTCCTGGGATCGACACAGTCCCTGCCCTCATGGGCTTAGGTCCTGGCAGAGGCCCAGTGCAAAGCCTTGGGCTGGTGGGATGGGGCAGTGGGAGGTGCAAAGGGCAACAGATGCTTCCTCGTTTTGGGCAAAGAGGCCCGGGGATGTGAGGAGCCGCGGCCCGAATGAATCCCAGTCATGCCCTTTCCAGGGAAGAGGGCTGACGTCTCCCTGCTGAGTCCATGTAGCCATTAAAATTTTGTTTTTTATTGGAGGAGTTCTGTAATGTATTTTTTTGGATCTAAGTTAGTAGAGTTTCAGGGGATAATAAATAATGACCCCTCCACCTTCCTGAGTTCAAAATTAGTTGAGAGACAAAGAAGACAAGCATAGGGAGATAAAAATCTAACCTTTATTATTGATTTTTACCGGTAAAACAAATTGAAAAAGGCCATGTTAGGTCTGCTGGCCAGTATGGGCATGTTACTCTTTCGTCCCTGTATTTGACATCTAATCCACTCACTGACCAAATTGGACAATCATAGGCCATGAGTATCTGACCATCTAAAACCTTTAACAAGACCAAGAGGAATAGCTCCTGCAAAGGAGTTAGTAAGGGGCTGAAAGAGAGGCTAGAGGTATTCATGTAATGGAAGTTCCCTCCATGGAACATGAGGAGAGGAGAAGTGTGTTCCGTACATGGGGAGATATCAGTTTCCCTGAAGGCACACCATCAATTTATAGCAGATGCTCAGGAAAAAAAAAAATACTGTATTAGATCAGGTTGTATGACACATTCAGATTTCAGAAACATTAAAAGCATTTTGCCATCTTAGAAGTCAGGAAGGATAGTGTTATAAGCTATCAATTGTTTGTTCTTTCGGTAAACACCTTCACTATGTTTGGCCTGAGTGGTGTGCACACCCTCAGCTGGGGCAGGGAGCCCCTGCTGAAATTCCAGGCCTGTTACAAACTAGCTGGGAGTCCTTGGCTCCCCTGAACCTCTCTAGGCCTGGTTTTCATCTGCTCAATGAGGAATGGGAGACCAGCCCAATACATGAACAGATAAAAAGGATGAGGGATAAACCTAGGCTTCCACAGCTAATTAGTTTCAGAGTTGGGACTAAAACCCAAGTATCTTCCATCCCTAGTCTCACTGTTCTCTACCATATCCAGTTCAGACTGATTCTTAAATTGAATATATACAAAATAGTTTAGCACCACAGAAGCGATCATTCATTTGTTCATTCATTCATTTATTTATTCGTTCAACAGAGCATCTTTTTTTGTTAAGCGTCTGCCTTCGGCTCAGGTCATGATCCCGGGGTCCTGGGATCAAGTCCCGCATTGGGCTCCCTGCTCAGCGAGGAGCCTCCTTCTCCCTCTCCCTCTGCCTGCAGCTCCCCCTGCTTGTGCTCTCTCTCTCTCTCTCTGTCAAATAAATAAATAAATAAATAAAATCTTAAAAAACAAAAAAGAAAACACGTTTTTGTCTCTCTAACAGCATGCATCCTGTGCCCTTATGTGTTTGCAGCCCTTATGTGACCACCTCAAGTACGACCCTTTACTTATAGCCTCACTTGAAGCGCTTCAAACTGACCCTAGGTCTTCAAGGAGATACAGTCCTCCTTGGCTGCCCTAAAACCATCAGCCCTCTGTGCTCTCCCTGAGACCTACAGTGATGCCCCTGTGGTAGATATGACCCACCCACAAGAATAGCTCGTACCATCTTAGCACACAAGTTCTTCAAGCGCCTAAAGAGAAAAGCTACAGAGTGAGGTCCAGAGCTGTGCACTGGCCTCATTATGGTTGTTTCTCTCCTTCTGTTTCTAGGGTGTGCAAGCTGGCATTACTATGTAACCATGCCGATGCCAGCCTCCACCTTCACGATCGCAGTGGGCTCCTGGACAGAAATGAAGCCAGAGCCCTGCTTGTTCAAGGATCTGGCAGCAGAGAGAGCCCTCTCACCTTCCAAGGCTGACTTCAGGTTGGTATTTGGGAGCTTGCTGAAAAACAAACACTTAAGGGAGCAGTATGATGCATTTATTCCAAGCACTGGGAATGTGAGTCATCCCTGCTGAGAAGCTAAACCAAAATATGATTAATCAAAGCAAGAAAAACCCTACTGGGAGGGAAAGAGAGTTGAGAGGCAGAAATATGGGCATATTGTTTATGCAGAAAGAAAGAGAAAAGAAGGATATATGAAGTCCTCTGTGAAGTCAGGTGAAATATTTTTATGTGTTTGGGTATGTCAACAGAATCCTCAGATTCAACACTTTCCCTCCTATACTTTTTAACTTTGGTTTTCAGTGCTTATTTGGTCAAAAACACAACTTAATGAAAAGGAGTTGCTTGTCTGTTGGATTACTTTGTAGGCCACTCTGCTGTTTAGGTCCCCGGGACTGCTGTTAGCAGTACATTTGTAGGGTCAGCCCTCCTTCAGTGGGGCTAGTCAGCCTGCTCCGAGCTCAGGACACAAGGAAGCTGTTGCAAGGTCATGGGGCAACGAGTAACCTACTGGTCAGGACTCCATTAACTTTGGTAGTGGTTTCTTCTTTTTTCAGAGTGATCGGAGAAAAATCTCTTTAAAGTTTTTAAAAAGCAGCACAGACCATTAGATATTCACTCACAGCCTCCCCACACGTCCAACTGTTTTCTAACTTCGAGAGCCAAAAGGGAGGAGGGGAATGTCCATAGGAGGTACAAAGTGTCCAAATTGTGCATCATTGCATCATGTTCATTCCTAGGACTTTTACACCCAGCTCAGTTTAATCACTTTTCCTGTTTACACAGAGTCACTAGGTCCATTACCTTCTGGTGGAGAAAGCCCAGAGTAATGGTACAGATGGCTAGTTCATCCTTGAAAACCAACTAAGATATGCTTTTAGTACAAATTCCTTTTGTGCCGGTTATATTTTGCCATGTTGCTTTCACTCTTACTGCAGTGGCTGCAGTGACGGTTGGTACTGTGAGGACGGAAAGCCACTGAGCCCTCTCCTATGACAGGCATGTCTTATTGCTTGTGTTTTGCTTTTTGGAGGAAGGGAGGTAGTTTCCACTTCCTGCTTAGTAACTTGCCTATTTTGGACTATCTCCCCTGAGCTATACAGAGTATCCAAGGTTGCTTCTTGGATTTTATTTATGCACGCTTGAGGGAAGAGGAGAGTTGTGGACAGAAGTGACACGTGTTACTTTCATGTGGGGATATTTAATTGCATGTGAGACCCTCAAGTGATCCCTTCCCCTGCCACTGAGCTCAGAATAGGCCTCATTTTGCAATTTTGGGTAGCCCAGATTTCTGCATGGGAAGGACAGGTGCCCTGGAGAGTTACTTGGATCCTCAGTGGACTTGTTATGAGCAAGAAATAAATTTTTTGTTGTTGTTGTTAAGCCGCTGAAACACTGGGGATGTTTGGTATTGCAACATATCCTAGCCTATCCTGAATTGATACAGAAGTCACTGGATGTTTGAAGTCAGGGAAAGTCTTGATCTAAATGTCATCTTGGTTAGTCCTGAGAGTAAGCCTATAAGATAGATAGGCTTTATTATCACAATTTTATAGATAAAGATACTGAGGCTTTAGACAGCAATGTGTCCGTGTTCATATCTCTACTGAGTTTCAACACCTGGATTCCTATCTGGGCTTGACTCCTTACGGAGGTGATTCAGAATCTTACCTGGGGACATTGGGTTTTTTTGTTTTGTTTTTTTAAGATTTATTTATTTATTTTAGAGAGAGTGCACAAGCGGGAGGGGCAGAGGGAGAAGGAGAGAGAATCTCAAGCAGACTCCACGTGGAGTCCGATGTGGGGCTTGATCCCAGGATCCCGAAATCATGGCCTGAGCCAAAACCAAGAGTCGGACACTTAACTGACTGCGCCACCCAGGTGCCCCTACCTGGGGACTTTTTTTTTTTTTTTAAAGGTTTTATTTATTTGACAGAGAGAAAGACAGCCAGAGAGGGAACACAAGCAGGGGGGAGTGGGAGAGGGAGAAGTAGGCTTCCCGCGGAGCAGGGAGCCCGATGTGAGGCTCGATCCCAGGACTCTGGGATCATGACCTGAGCCGAAGGCAGACGCTTAACGACTGAGCCACTCAGGCGCCCCCCTACCTGGGGACTTTTAAAAACTGTGTATGATGTCCATGCCTCACCTGGAGTCTGATCCACCTTCCTACCTGGAGAGTCAGTACCATGACTGAGTGACTGTTACTGATTGAAATGTGTCACGCTGGTACAGACGACAGAAGTTGAGAGTTCTGCCTTTGAGTGTGAAGCAGTCCGTACTGCTTGGGTAGGGTTCTCGGGGCAAAGCCATTCTTTCCTGCTCTGTGGCATAAAGACTTTGCTTGGGGTTTTCCAATTCTTCATGGTGAAGAAGCAGCCTCAGGGCTGCTTGACTGTCAGAGGAGGTGTGCAGTTGAAATCCGTGCGCCTTAGGGGAAGGCAAAGAAAGAAATGTGTTATTTTGTCCTTCTAGCCATATTCCCAGGGATATGAGGTTGGGGAGCGGGCAGCAACCATTTCTTATGTGTTCCTTCTGCTGCCCAGGGGCCACTGAGGTGGCTTTTCACCTTATTTGCATCCATAATTGTGAAGGAGGCAGCCTTGGCCACTTCATGTGGGCATTCTGGGAAGAGATGGCATCTGAAATTCCAGTTGGGGTTTAGGGGAAGGGGATCAGTATGACTCTTTTCTTGTGTTTTCAAGTTTGCAACCAGCTGTGAAACAGGCAGAAGGAGAACACAGGGAAAGTTTTCATAATTGGCCGGAGCTCAGGACTGCTCGGGTGCACAACCTCAGTGGACTTTCTAATACTCCGTTTCCAAGCCAGACAGACTGGCCCATCCAGTTACCTGCGCAGCTGGACTGCTGTTCTCCACAGCACAGGTCCACGCAGGCTGCCTCATGGCCAGAAAGTACCCCATCTGTGGGCAAGCAGATTGGAAAAGAGGAAGCCCAAGAGTGGCCAAGCCGATCAGAGCAGCTGGAGCCAGGTCAAAGGTGCCACTCCAGGGAGGCACATCCTCATGTGGGAACGCGAGGCCTGGGGAATGGAGTCCTTCCCACACTCCCTTCCATGTCTGACATGCTATGACGAAGTTTCCCCTTCATTTATCACCATGCTTGTCCATCAGAAATGTACTGCTGATAAAATAATAGCTTGCATTTGCTTAATCCTTCCCTGGCTACGTGCTTCATGTGTGCTGTCTTTAGTCATCAGAGGGTAGCTTTGTGTTTTTATCCATTAAATCTCTGGCTCCGTGCTTGGTTTGCCAACAAAGGTACTCTGAAGTGCCAACTGCAGTCGTGTTTTCGGTTATGTTCACATCTGGTTCCCTTGCCTTCCCCGCCCCCCTTTTCTACTTCAAACCTTCCTGAGACCACCAGTTCAATTCACGTAAATGTAACTTTTATAGGGGCCTTATATACCACAGGCTTTCATTTGCCTAAAGTGTTCATCTGGGTCCCAGAAATTTGGCCAAAGTATTGGTCACTGAACTTTTGATCACTGTTCATGTGGGCTAAATTATAGGAAGAACATTCCCTCTTCCAGCTCCAATTCCACACGTGTTCCGGCCCACTCTGGGTGAGCATTTAAATACATTAATTAGAAGGCATTTAGGTAAACCATTGAAAGTTTATTAATTTTCTTCGGCTGCAGCATAACCGTCTCCAGCCACAGAGGAATCTTTGTATTGTTTAACCTCTGGAGGCCTTTGTTAAAGCACTGTCTTCACTTTGGGCCCATACAGTTTAGGCACGACACAGAAACTTGGATAAAGTCCAGAGGAACTCAGCAAAAATTATTAAAAGCGTGGAAAATACGTTCCACGAAGAAGAAAAGGCATTGAGGTTGTTCATCCTAAAGAAGGGACGGCTTGGTGGGAGAAGCGGTCTTTCTGAGAGTTGTGAAGTCTATGGAAAGTGGCCTGTGGACCTTGCAGGATGAGGCCCTATTTCTGTATCTTTGAAAGACTAGGAAAGAAGGAATGATATATAAGTCATGGGGGAAAAATACCAATTTCCAGTACACCCTTTGCTATAAGAGAAGCCTTTCCAAATCTCCCTGGCTTGGTGTGATTTCTCCAGCCCTGGCTCCCTGGTGTAGTTCAGCCTTCTGGTTTTTATAGCATATACTGCATTTTGCTTCGTAAAATCCTAGAATGCCCTAAGGAAACCCATCCAGCTTTCAGGCACAACTGCATCATTGTATATATTGACATCATTGTCAACAACTCATTGGGGGCTGGTGCTGGCATTTTGAACACTTGTGATTTTTACCGTATCCAAGCATCTACTCTGCTTGCTAAAATATGTTAATAAATTGTCTAAACATCTTACTGTGTCACTGTACTCATCAGAATTTAAAATTTTTTCTTCCAACAAAACTGTAAACTCCTCAAAGGTAGGGTTGGAAATTTATTCATATGTCTGTACATGGCATACCTTTGGGGTGCCTTGAGTAGAGCAAGAATGCAGGAAATAATTACTAAATTGTCAGGTTGAACGGTAAAAAAAGGACATGCATTCCCAGGGGAAACTTCCAGTGATTCCTTTTGAGCCTATGGCAGGGAAATGTCTGTGTCAGCTACTTTCAATACATCTCGTTCTTGAAACAAGAGGAGGGCTGAAGGAGAGAACCTCTTTAGGCAACTTCCAACCTTGTGATTCTGAGTGAAACGTGGTCACCCTTCTTCCGTGGAGAAACCTCTTGTAAAATAATTTCAGCCCAGCAATCGTAGGAGAGGGAACCAATGTTCTGGTTCCCATCATTTACCAGCCTAATATTTATTTCACCAGTTCTTCCCACTCTTGGCAATATTAATGGGCAACATTGACAAGGAGGAGCAGGAAACCAGAGAACCACAGAGCAGTTGAGCTCAGCTTCTAGAAAAATCCAGGACCCAAATTTACTCAAGAAGATTAATGCAGTATGTGGGGAAGGAAGGTCGGGAGGGAGGAGCTTATGATGACTCACGATGTGATGAAAAGAATAGTTCTTATTCCTTAGGAATGTTGTGTGGATTAATTGGGATAATGCACATGAAATGTTCAGAACAGTTCTTGCCACATAGTAAATATTCAGTAGCAGTTGTGGGAGGAGTTATTGTTTATTATTCTTATTATCATCAGTGCAGATTATTTATAAATAACAAGCATTATTATTAATCTTAACTATTAAAATATTTACCCTGATTATAAGTGTGGGCACAGGGAATAGCGATTTGCAAATGCTTGATTCGCTGATGATACTGAGAGTAGGTTGGAGCAGGCACAGATACAGAAATGAACAGCTGAAGGTTAGTGGGAAAGGAAGCATGTTTGAGTGAATTCTGGCTTCATGGAGGACTATTCATGACAATAGAAACGTATAATATTCCCTCACCACTTCAGGAACAAGGCTGTTGGCGTGAAGAGGGGCGGGGGCCTCATGTGGAGAGTTGCCATAGAATCACAGTGCCAGAAGAAACCTTAGAAACCATTTTTTGTTTTTTTTAATTAAAGTATAATTAACATACAATAAAATGCACAGATCTTAAGTGTTTGGCTTGATGAGTTTTTGACCATCGTTTACACCCTAAACTGATACGCTCCCACACCCAGTAAGTTCCCTCTAATCAATTCCTCCCCTCCCCGCCCCCTGCAGCCATTTTTGTGAGACCATGTTAGAGATGACAAGAAGGAGCCCCCAGGTACTGAGGGGCTTTCCTCACGTCACAGTTAGCCCGTCTGAGAACAGCCACTGAAGCCCAGCTTTCCTGATCCCGATGTCAGAACCTTTGTGTCATCTTCCCTGATGCCACTTCCATTTTTTAAAAAATTTTATTTATTTATTTGAGAGAGAGAGATCACATGCACGTGAGCAGGGGGAGGGGCAGAGGGAGAGAGGGATCTCAGACGGACTCCCCACTGATGCCTGATGCTGGGCTCTATCTCATGACCCTGAGATCATGACCTGAGCCGAGATCAGGAGTCTGACGCTTAACTGACTGAGCCACCCAGGTGCCCCAGCCACTTCCATTTTTATTGGGAACCTTAATGGTCTCACTTACCCGTAGCTTGACTGCCTTAAAGTCCTGCATTTTCTTCCAGGCTTTGATTATGAAAAACGGTGCTAATACACACAGCTGGAATAATCTTCATCCTCCTGGCTAGAGCCGTTCATATCCAGAGAGAATTTAACTCACCTTTTCTCTTCAACAAATTGTGTGGATTTTTTTTTTGTTTTTTGGTTTTTTTTTGAGAGAGAGAGAGTGCGAGCATTCGAGCTAGGGAGGGGAGAGGGGCAGAGGGAGAGGGAGAGAGAGAAAATCCCAAACAGGCTCCATGCCCAGTGTGACCCTGAGATCATGACCCGAGCTGAAATCCAGAGCCAGATGCTCAACAGACTGAGCCACCCAGGTGCCCCTACAAATTGGCTTTTTTTTTTTTAATACCTCCAACTATTCTCTGACCTTTCTTGGCTGCAAGAAATAGTCTGGCCCCATGATAATTTTCTAGATAGGCCGGTGGAATACCTCTGCGAAATTATGCTTTCATAAGTAGAATTTAAACTTATGCCCTAACTTTGTACTGAAGATGCCTCCACACCTCCAGTCTCTCCATTATTTAATGTGCTCTGAAAGTTCTTTAGTAGAGTGTAAGCTTAAATTATTATCGCCCATTATACATCTCTGTAAATATATTAGGTGATTAACTCAATAAATGGCTTCATAAGACCTTTGGGTACTTGTCATTGGGTAGACATTTGCAACATTTTCATGTTAAATGTTTACCACCAGGCACCTGTCCTCACTTTCTCCATAAAGCAAGGGTATCAATCCAGGGGCGTTGGCTAGCATTCGATGTCAGTCATTATATTCTTGCTGTCACCTTATCCTGGCAGAAGTGTTGAGGGGTCTCCAACCATTTTTCTTACCCTCACCCGTGGTGAAATGTCCCACGTGCTGGAAGCTGTGTTCTATGCACCAGGCTGGGGGACGGCGAGGCTTATCTCCAGAGCTGTGTGGATCTCCTTGGGCGGAGCTGGCTTTGGATGAGCGAAAGGCACTTTAGAAATCTGGAGAGGAATTATTGTTGTGGCGTGCCCCTTTTGGGACATGCCAGCATCTTAAGGTTTCTCATTATTCACCGTGACTCCAACAAAAACCCATAGTTAGAATTATAATTTGTCAATTAAAATTAGAGGGGCTTTCCATTGTGTTTGAATAAAGGATGTGTGAACAGGCAAAAAAAATTGAGTTCCCTTTGATGTGGGTTTCTTTGTGTAGATAAGTTCTCTCGAGGTCTGTGAGTCAGGTTCTAGGAATTCTTGCTTGGCTCCACCTTTGACAGAAGAACTGGCAGTGATCAGATGGTACCGGCTGGGCTCCGAACTATTTCCTTAAAAGGTTGATTCAGTTCAATTTGTATCGAAAGAGCACTGGGGAAGGTATTGTTTCAAAAATGCCTCTGTATTCCATAGGAACACAACTTCTGATGGCCTTTAATAAGAGCACCTAGATAACTTTTGAGTAAAATGGATTGTGTTCTTTTGAAAAGTTGAAACCTGTCCTATCATTGGGTTCATTATTCTACCTGAGTCCACATCTTTATTCTAGGAAATTCCAGAATGGGATCCCAAATTTGGCTTTGCACCATCCTTAACGTTCTGAGTTACGAATTGTTTCTGATTTGGAAATTTTTTTCCATGGTGATATTTGAAAAGCACATTTCTAAGGGCAGAAATTTTGCTTTTTACTTTCAGGAGGGGGTTGTTTCATTGCTTTGAGTCTTGGAGGGTTTCCCCCTGTTATTCTAAAATAAGTAGTAAAATCTACTTTCACTTAGTTTAGATTGAAGCTATTCAGTCAATTCAGCGCGTCAGTAAGTATTTTGACCAGTAAGTTTTCACTGCTGCACAGAAACAGCCAAGCCAAGAATTCAGTTGAACTGTCTTGATTGGGAGCCCATGTGAACCACTGTCTCTTAGAAGTTGTGCACGTCTGTGAGAGTTGCTCACCTCCACGGCAACAAGAATAAACCTGATTTACCATAAAGCGCATCTGTTTATTTTGTGTTGTTCCCAGGTATGTTGGCGTTTGTGGTCACACGGAATACCCCTGCCGCTTCCAGAATCCTTCCGCTACCACCCAGGAAATTGTTCCTCATCGGGTCTTTGCCCCAGTGTGCCTCCAGGGTGCCTGTCAAGAGACCCTTCTGCAGCTGGTCCCCCCGTGCCTGTCAGCAGCATACTCCATCCTGGGAACACACCCGTTCTCCAGGCTGGACATCCTCATCGTTCCTGCCAACTTCCCGAGTCTGGGGATGGCCAGGTATGTTGTGCCATGGTGGCACTCGGATTACATGCTTTGGAATGACTTCGACGATTTCTTGCTTTTCCTGAACGCTGTCAGAGCTGCCATTTGGTTAGGATGGTCTGCTTGGACCTCTCATTGCTGCCTTGAGGGAGAGTCTGCGTGTAGATTCCACCACGCGGGAGGGAGCCTTTAGGTGTCATGGGCTCAATCAACTGCCTTGAAAATAAAAAGCTCACGTTGTTGCTCGGATTGAAAACACATTGTGCCCCCAGAGTGATGTATGTTGGACTGTGGCTGATGAGTGGCTGGTTAGCTTAGGTGGTGAGAGCACAATGCTAATGAGCGCAAGGTCATAGCTCTGGGCAGAGTAACACAACTTAGTTCCAGGGCCACGGGCTGCTCACCTAATCCTGACCAGCTGTCTCATCCATTCTCGACATTGGTCACAAGGGCAACGACTTGAGAGCCCCTGTGTCAGAGAGACTGTGGATGGATCAGTGTAAATCCATCACCGCTGCTGGAAAAACAGCTCAAAGCAGATGGCTTACTGGGGGGGTGGGGAAGTGGGGGGGGAGTCACTTGTCTTGCTACTCTTTTTAAATATAATAAGTGCATTATTCTTACTGTTTTCTCAGTTTTGTTCTTACGGAAAATCCAGACACGCAAGTTGAGCCTTTCCCTGTTATTTTCATCTAAAACTCGTTCCTTGATGCTATCGTTCATTCAGTAATAGGTACCTGAGTTTCCCTCAGCATTTTACTTGTTATGCACTCGGGATTTTACTTGGTTATGTTTCTGTTTGAAAATCTTAATCATTAACAGTGAATATGCTTGACTAAGGCGAGGAAGAATAAGCTCATCAAAACACGTGACTTAAGTTTTTCCCTATTAGTCAAGGAAATTCCTGCTGCCAGTTAATTTCCATGCTTTGGAGCAGCTGTTGTTTGTGGTGTTTTCCCTGAAAACTGCATACATTCTGAGTCGAAAAGAACTGACCAGAACCTTTGCTTTTGATCTTTACTACATACGTATACTTTTTAAAGCTGGCTAGCTATTCTTAATCCTTGAGGAGGTCTGAGAAAGTCATTTAGGCTGATTTTTTATCCTGTATTTATGAAGATAATAGAAATGTAGAAACTAGGGTAATTGTCTATATTTGGTAACATGCATCAATATTGTTTGGGATGTCTATATATAGAATTTGTCTTAACAGGGGGGCTTCTTCGGTCCCTTTGAAGAGTCTGCTGGACTTAATTTAAGCAGAATTGTTGGCGAAGAAAGGGTTGTTCATTAAATGTTTCTCATTTGTACCCAGTTTTGAGGGGCTGTATTTATTTGGGAGTCTTTAGCACTTTATGAGAGTTGCAGTTTTTCAGGGCATGTTTGCTAACAGTTCCAAGTTCTGACCTGAGGGAACCAGAGGCGGAGTATTTTTCATACAGAGGACCTCATTTTCTGTAGCTCTTTCCTGACAGCAGTCTGCCAAAACCAGAATTTGTTGACCTGCAGGCCATTCTGTGAAGCCTCTCTTTGCAAGTTTGCATGCCCAAGCAGGTAGGCAGTGGGTTTGCTGCTTTTTGAGATATTTAAAGTGACTTAAACATGCTTAACTCTGTATTTTGAAAGTAAGAAGCCTAAGAACCCTAAGGCCAAATGGTACTGGGCACAAATGTCAGAAAATGTGGTGGCGATAATAACTCAGCAGCAACAAGACTGCTTTTATGCTTAAAAACAGAAGAACCATACATTTAAAAATTTGTGGTTGGTTGTCAAATATCATTTTTTCCCCACTTTTTTCTTTCTTTTTAGACAGTGGAAGTAGTCTGCCCTGGTCTAGATGTTTTCCTGAGCTTAGTTAACTGTTCCCTGTATTTGAGATGCAGAGGGAGGATTATGGTATCTTCCATTGCCAGTTGGGGGTGGGGGGGAGCACTGTGTTTTTCCTAACTGTGGCCTAAATTGATTCCACTTGGCTTGGCTTGACTCTCGCGGGATCCCAACACCTTGAGCCACATGCAACCGAGTGGGGTTTATGACTCAGCTGGCTCCCGGGGCCCTGCTGCCTTATTTATGGTCAGGGCTTTCCTTGGGGCTCTGCAAAAGCAAAGCTGGAACAAAAAATGACAGTCTTGTAGGTCAGCTCTGTACCCTAAACAGGAACAGAGAAATCCCGAGTCTAGTAGGAATTATCCCAAAAGACCTCTGTACTAAAACTTGTCATTGTCTTGTTCATTGTAATGCACTAAAGATCAAAGGATTTCTTGGTAGATTAAATGGTTCTTTGCTGAGTCCACATTTTATAAACATGTATGCGAGATCATAAATTCCATACCTCTGGACTTCTTTAGTGATTAGGTCCTAATCATAATGAATACCATTTTATACCATTGTAGTATTCTTTTTTTGGTGAATGGCATTAAACATTCCCACATGAACTAAAGTGGGTAAATTGTTAGTAACCATTTTGAAGAGTTTTTTAAATTTTTGGATGACATCTGTAAAGATTTCGCTGTATTTGAAATATTACATATCATAGTTTGTATGGATAATCTTAAAACTCTCTCTTTGGAGCCCGATTCTTCTATTTCAGTGAAGTGGGGAGAAACACACTTGTATAATTTGAATGTATGATAATTACAGATCAGCTTATCAGAAGGTAAATGACACAAAGACAACGTTTTAGAACTTGGAATGCTTTTCCAACATAGCAGTAACTAGACCATCTATCAAGACTGCACATCATGGTTTTTGGTCACCTTTTGTATAAGAGGAACCCCCCCGTCCTTTTCTCAGTCACTGTTCCAGGGGAGAGATGCTTTCATTCCGTTCTGATTCTGAGAAAAATCCCTAGTTTGCCTTTAAGACACTACTGACTAGTTGTAGTCCATAATTTTCTCATTCAGTGCGTGTAGGCTTTCTGTTTTTGTTTCCTTTTGCTTGTCCTTCCATAGAGGCTGAGTCTGCCATATAAGGAGCTGTGGAGTGTACCTTTCTTGGATTGAGTAATATGGTGTCTAGCCAAAGATATGAATGCATTTTAAGTGAATCTCCAATGTATAGACACATTCTCTTCATGTTGGTATAATTAGCATTCTGCCATTTTCATTGTGTTCTCGTATTTTCTCAGGTGTCTCAGCTAGGGATGGACTAGTAAGCCTCATTTCCCAGGTATTGAGAAATACATGAAAGGAGCTCATCATCATGCTTACACTCTTTGTTATAATAATAATAATGTTAATGAAATAATATCCTGGAACCAGATTTATGACAGTTGCTTAAAAATTAACACCTCAGTCTTACCTCTGTCGGTGTTTATAATAAATGTTTTGCTTCGCCATTTGTCTTTCAGCAGCTCACAATTACATGTCACGGGGCATAATTAGGTTGGCAGAACTACCTTGCTGACATCCAAATACATTCTTTTTTTTTTTCCTCCTCTATTTGAATTTCAAGAATCTCCTGCAAATCATTTCAGAGCGGTTTTACGTGTAGAGCACCGAATAAAAAAAGCTGTGTTTTCTGTGACTCTACTTCCCTGCTCTACCATTCACAGGTAGCTTCACCCCTGGTTCCAGTTGGAAAATTGGAAAAAAAAAAAAAAAGTGGCAGTGTGGTTGACATTAGGTGACAATTCTGCTTTCACTTGTTTTTCCACTGGTTTCGTCCCAGATTGTTTTGTTCGTCTGTACATTATTTATTCATCTATTCATCCTTCCAGTAAATTTCTATTAAGCACATACTGTGTGCCAGGTAGGATTTAAGATGCTGAGTCTACAGGGGTGAACAAGATTGATGCGATCTCTGTCATCACGGAACTTACATTCTAGTCAGGGGAGAGAACTGTGTACTTAAAAACCAGGACTAAGATGTATGCTATAAACAATAAAAACCAACTCAGTGACAGAGTGATCGTTAGGGTCTGAGGTGGGGGGGTGGTGGCAAACTCTTTTTTTTTTTTTTTTTTTTAAGATTTTATTTATTTATTTGACAGAGAGAGACACAGTGAGAGAGGGAACACAGCAGGGGGAGTGGGAGAGGGAGAAGCAGACTCCCCACTGAGCAGGGAGCCCAATGTGGGGCTCGATCCCAGGACCCTGGGATCATGACCTGAGCCGAAGGCAGACGCTTAATGACTGAGCCACCCAGGCGCCCTGGCAAAGTCTTCTTTAAAGAGTGGCAGGTGCCACGAGACTGAAAAACAGAAAGGAGCCACCCTCGTGAACAATCTGGGAGAAAAGCAACCCAGGCTGAGGGAGTTCAGGTCCAAAGGCCCCAAGGTGGGAACCACTGAGATGGGCTGGAGGAGCAGAAAGAAGGCGTGTGGCTGGAGGGCAACGAGATTTTAGAGTGGCTTTTCTTAGTTCCCTCCTTACACTCATTTTAGGTGCCAGGAGGTCCCATGGTCCCTCAGGTCTTGGGTCACCAAGCCACCTATGCACCAGTATGAGGAGAGCTAGGAAGAGCCACCAAGAAATGGCAGAGGTTGAGTGGGGACTGATGGTTCTGGGCCATCAGGAGTTATGGGGAGAGAGTCGAAAGAGAGGTCATCTTTTCTCGGTTTTATGAGAACCAGCAGTGCCATACCGTCTTGGGATTGGCTAGTTAGAACCTGACTTGGCTTAGCAACTGCTGTCCTTGAGCAGAATTCGCCACTGTGGGGGCATCAGAGTTCCTGGCGCAAGGCCCGGCAACTCTCCCTTTGTGGAGCAGGGAGAAAGCAGTCCCAGGGCACCACGTTTCCCTTCCCTGCTGGCTGCTGGTGGATTCCTTCCCAGCTTTTTTGACACGTGAGGTCACAGGGAGGGAGGCAGTGTTTTTATGTTTGCTCATCCTAATTTTTAAGTTTCTCAAAGGCTGAACAAAAATAGGATTGATAGAGAGCAGAGAGAAATAATCATCAATTACTTAAATATCTTCAGTGTGCTTCACGGCCGGAGAAAGACTGTAAAGCTCCCTATTATACATGGCTTGTTCTAAAGATGTGATTGTGCAATAAAGGGCTTCTGGGTGCTTAC